AGTTTTACTGTAAAATTTTATACCATAATTTTTAAGGTAACATTTATTTAACTTAAGTGATTCAATGACTTTACGGTAATTATTACTGTAAAAAAAATACGGTATATCAGATTTTTTGTTCAGTAATATGTTCCGGTAAAAATGGATTTTACGGTAAAAAGTACCGACTCCCTGAGTGCCAAAGTTTAAAATTTTTAAAGTTTAAATATTTTTGCAAAAGTTTAAAATATTTAAGGAATAATCAATTTTGACCTTAAAATCTCTTCAGTTTTAAAAATCAAGTTTCGTAAACATGGATTCGTGTTTTCTTTTTTCTCTAAATAACGAGAGGAGTATTTTTGTAACCTACAATTTGTATTTAGATTATTATTTATTTGTATTTGCATTGTACAATTTGTACTAGCAGGGTCTGATTTTCTGATAAACGCTCGTTTATGATATACATATAGGAAAAGGAATTAAATGAGTGTTAATTAAAAGTCACCAATCAGTGGATAGTCATTAAGTCTATTTTAAATAAATAAATAGATAATAAAGAAATTAGAATTAGAAATTAATGAAAATTATGCAAATATATTTTCATATGATTTGCGAAAGACAGAATTTTTAACTTAAAATACATATTCGTGTTAATGCATATGAAAGTAAGTTTGTTTTCCGCCTTTTGTTAAAAATGAATCTTTAATTTTTCTCATTTGCGTATGCAATCAATTTCCTCTATTTCTTGATAGGCAAGAATAAGTTTTCAAATCTTTTTAAATAATCCTGTAAAAAATAGTTTTTTTTTTGTCGAGTTAACATTCTGTAAATTTGAATCTACTATTTTAAGTACACAACAGCATTTTTAAAACAAAAGATCAAAAATAAATGTTATTTCACTTCAGTAGAGGTCAAACAATTCACTGTCATCACTATTTTAAATAAAATAACCAATTTTGCATAAATGAGTGCTCTATGTTTTTAACGATTAAACTGACAATTAAAATTGCCGGAAATTGTTTCTTTTTTTTCTTTTAAAATTGAAAATGCCAAATCAAATTATATGGTGTACTTTAAAATTTTATTAGTCCTTAATAATGAACCTCTATAGTTCTTCAATTTTTGAAGTTCATTTAAAAAAATACCGCACTTTTAATGGGCAAACAGGTTAAGTCTAGAATATTTTTGACATGCTTTAGGTATCAGGATTTACTGTATATGGTTAGGGAAAGCTCCACTGAAAAGAAGGAATCCATAATTTGCTCGTGATAAAATAAAATAATAAATATAGCTTGATGTTTTTTTTTTTTTTTTAAATCATTGAACATTACCCAGGCCAATAAATTTGAAGCAAATCAATAATTGATTGTGACAAACCTAATCGCTCATCGAGGTATCGGTTTTTGAATAAATTGCCTCATCTAAATTTTTTAATTTGTTGTTTAGCCAATTATTTTGAGCATTTAATTTATGCATTTTTATGACACACTGCTCATTATTTTTTTCCTAACAATATTCATTTTAACACATAAATGAATGGATTTCTATTTTTAGTAAATAACGTTTGAAATCATTTGGAAAATTGGTGTAGGTAATTAAAAAATACAAAAAAAGCGAGGTTTTTTCATAAATTTGACGAAAAAAGAAAACATATTAATGTTTTTTTGCATCATGATGAACAAATCACTCCTTGACAGTTTTACTAATCCACTGCTTACAAAAGAAGCCTAATTCGTAATTGCTCTCAGATAGTGCTCCAACAACTAAAATAGTTAAAAAGTTAAGGAAATAAACTGTCTTAAGTCTCTAGCTAACACAATGTAAAGATTACTATATAAAGAGATAAGAGGATTGAAACATATGATGCGGGAAATCTACATTGATCCACATTGCTATGTGCTTAACTTGGTTTTTAAAGTGAAATATTTAATATTATATCGCAGAAATCTTTTTTCGTCAAATTATTTCAAAATAATGATAAAATGGGCTGTTGGGTTAGAATTTTGTTTTTGAATAAAGCGTCGTGATCATGCCAGAGTGGATCGAGTATTATCGTTCAAGGTTAGAATACAAATGCAACATAAAAATTTAATGGCAATTAATATGCAGTTTAAAACAGTTATGGAAGATAGTTCATGAAGCAATAAAAGTTATTGGCCTTGTGTTTAATTCAAATTAATTATAATTTAAATTAAAAATATTCTTTCCAAAAACATTCAGTTTAATTTTAAAATTTATAATTATTATTGATTTTTAAATTGCCTATAATTAGTTACATTTTGTCATAAATGTTACTATTTTTTATTGAAATAATTGTTACGTAATAGATGGTAACCTACGTCAGAGGACCTGCTTTCCAACCAAACTCCAAGAAGAAGCGCTGCCACACTAGGAAGGGTCGGGGTTCGATCCTCGACACCGCTAAGACCTATCGAATTCTTACGATATGCGTGCTCTTAAAATCTGATGAATCAAAATTCCTGTGGTCGATCGCTGAGCAGTACCATGGGTATGGAGATCAGGAAAATAAATTCTTCCCCTTCAGATCTATTTCAAAATAGAGGAAGTATTCACAAAATGGAATCCCCTCTGCAGAGGATCAAAATTGTTATGGCATGTTTTCGAATCATCCTCAGGGATGTTTCCTAGACTGTAGCAAAAACCCATTGTGTAGCAGTAGCTCTAATGTGACGTAAATAAAGTACCTACTTATCTCATCCCTTTTTTCTCCCTCGGCTACTGTAGTTTTCCTACTTTTATTTCTCACCTTTATTTTCCCTTTTTCGTTGACAACTTAATATTCTAAATCTCAAATAATCACTTTTGTTTTTTCTCCTTCACGTCTGGTATGTTTTGAAAATGGTTGCATATTTTTGAGAGTTTGAAATATGTCAACTGTTATTCCCGTTTTCTATATTTTTGAAGAGAATGAAGCTTTTGTCAAATAATACCACTATGATTGTCAGAGTGTCTATAAAATTGTACTTTTTAAATATTTCATTGTAATATTTAAATATTTCATAATATTATCCTATTTTCCAAAAGTAGTGAAAACTATAACATTTTCCCCAAATTGTACCTTTTAAATTTCAGCAACTAATATTTCGTACACTTTGTTGATTTTCATTTTATTTTTAAAAATAAAATTTTCTTTACTTGGTTACATGTATTCCAAAAATTTTCAAAATAAATAAATAGAAAATAAATAAAAGACATAGAAGAAATATGATTTGTAAATATATCTGTGGTTTGAGACTATTTTTTCATAGTTACTTTTATCTTAGCTCAGACTTGAAATGGAAATAGCATGTAAAAGTATTACACGCCTTCTCTTGCTTTTCTGGTGAAACGAAAGAAAAAAGAACTTGTGGAAGGTTAGGTTTACCAATAGGGTGTCAAAAGTGGGAGGCACTAAATCGATGTTCCTGCTACCTTTTACACCACCCCCATGCTGAGACAAGAATTGTTTTCCCCTCTACCACGCTTTTGAGGGACAAGATCGTAAAAATGAGAGCTGTCATATGCAGGTGTGTCCGATACTACAATTGTTCAGTTTAAAACGTGGGCTGGCATGCCCATAATTTCAATAAAAAGAATAAAGGGTGGAGGCAACACTATAGCTGTTTGGCGAATTTTCTTTGCTACTTTATGCGATTGAAACTGTTGTGTGCAATATTACGAATTCCACATCTTCCACATTGTAATTCCATTCCGAATTGCTTTAAAAATTTCTAATAAAAGTTAGAGAAACTGAAAATAATAATAAAAAAAAAAAAACTATAGCAAAGGAATAATAAATTTTTTTAAAAAAATGCGCATAATGTTTGTGATTTAAGGTTTTGAGATTTTATTGGATCGACGGCGTTTTACGCTTGTTAATGGTATAAGGTAAACTGGTTGCTTTTTGTTATAATAACTTCAACTATAAAAATATGATAAAAAAAAATTCTTAAATTTTAACAACATAAACAGATAGCACCTTTAAATTTACTTAAAAAAATGTCATACTTAATTTAAACAATGATGAATTTTGAGGATCGAAAAATTAGAGTTAATTTATATCTTTTTCAGTTTCTCGAATTCAAATATTATGCAAAGTAATAAGGACCTAATAATAATCGAGTCACTATTTTAATTTCCTTTTTAAAATTAGGGGAAAAATGTTGGAAAATAATATATTTCTTTATTTAAATATCGAATAAAATCTCAAAAATTGTTTTTTGTTACATTGCAACAATGTTGCATTGTTACATTCCTGTGTTATCGGATATTTTATCTCAGGAATCGTCATCTGAATCAGTTTGTATAAATTTTAAGAGGAAATAATAACTCTTCAATTTTATAGGTAAATATGAAGGTACAATGAAATTTTATTGCTTGAAAAATCATGAAAACATTTTTTTCTTTATTTAAATTTCAAAATCATAAAATGTGTCGTACATATTAAAAGTAAGCAGTTAAATATTTTTTCGGAAGTTCTCTTTTAAATACGTAATAATAAAATGATATTAAAGCAATTTTAATAACAAAAAATATCGCAACAATGTAGTAATATTTTCTAGAATATCACACGATTCCGACTGCGGCAGATAATTGTGATAAAAATAAAATGTCTTCTAAACAGTGAAATCTAAAAAATTAATGAAGATATATATATATATTTATAAGAGAAGGAAATAAACATAGAAAAACTCATTTATGATAGTATAATGGTTAAATAAGTTTTTCTCTAAACTTGAAATATTTTTAAGTCAAAAACGTATGTTGAAATTTTTAATTGAATAAAAACAAAATTCCTATCATGTCTGGAATAATTTTGATAGAAATAAATTAAATCACAAGAAGCAAGCAAGCAATATAACTGTCATCATCTGTTGGCAGTAAAACTTATGTATGTCGCCAAAAATGCGATAAAAGCTCGAAAGCCTTTGATGGCACTTGGTGGCGCGCATACATTCAGTGACGTCACGGTGAAGACTCAAACCATACTTAGCTGTTGATAAAAGCTTACTCCGTGTTTTGCCGCGAGCTGTAGTGTTTTACTCCTTACTTTTTCTCATCTGTTTGGTTTCGATTTTAATTTTCATTCATAAAAGTACATTGGTTACTATATATTTTTTTTTTCATTTACCCGCGAATTTAAGTCGCGTAAAATTCTTCTTATTTTTTATATTGCATATTTATGAGTTAATGATAAAAATGGGGACTTAAGAATATCATCAACGAAAGGGATACACTTTGATTATGTGTTTTTCTTTTTTTTTTCTTTAATGAAACGGAATGTGCCGTATGTTTTTAGTTGTTAGAATTGCGAAAGAAAATCTAGGGGAAAACATCGTAAAATAGATTTACGTATTTGTGTTGCCACATAATATATGTTTACTTGAATTATCATCTGTAATTGTGAAGCAACTCTATTCAAAAATGAATGTACGGAAACAAAGTGTGTGTGGATTGTTTACATTTATATTATGCTGTTCTTGTGTAATGGTGTCATCTGCTGTTACAAAAAAAGTGAGACCACCTCTTGTAGAAGAAGTGGGCAGGAGAAAATTGGAAAAACAAACTCGTGAGTATTACTAAATTCTTTAAGCTGTTCATTCTAAAATATTATTTTCGATTCATATACTAATCATGTTCATTAAAATTACTTTGACTGTACCTTATATATTGTTTAAAATATATGTGAAATAGTTGGAATTAAAGATTAAATGTTTCATATATTTTAGAAAGCTTACATTATTAACTTTTAAAAATTTTAATGTTTTTTTTGTAAATTTTTGTTTTTCTTAATCGTTTAATTGTTCCTTAATCTTTTAAATGAAACTGGAAATTAAATTTAAATGAATATTTGAATTAAATGAATATTGAAATTTAAATGAATATTTAGCAATTTCGTTTTACTACTGTAAAATTTTGATATTTATATATATATTATAAATTAAAATTTTTGGTATTAAGTTTTCAAATTCCCTTATTTATTTTTTTTACTTTGTTTTTTACATGCATGAACAAACAAATCACTTTAATAATTATATGCTAGCGATGATCTTAAAGAGGTATTATAAGATTTGGAAGATTAATTTCTATTAAATTTAACATATTGAAACAAAGAGTAGTTTATTGTTTAGTTTGTTTAGTTGAATAATTTATAATGTTCAGCAAATATTCTTGGTTAGTTAAAGAATTAAAAACTTGTTGCAGCAAAAACAACTTTAAAAAATAATTTTAATGAGAGGGCAACGGATTTAAATTATTTATTTTTCTCCATAATTTACAATATTTTATTTTACTCATACTTATAAATATATGTTTCACATTTGGATAAAATTGCCATATATGAGATATTTAATACTTTGGTTCTGAAGTTGACTTGTAAAATGTCACGGTTATAATTTAATCAGATGCATTATAAGTAAATTCTATTTTTTGAAACTTTAAGCATGTGAATAATTGCATTTCTAATTTATGATCCATCAACAAATTATAACAAACAAATTATAACTCCGATTTCAAAAGATAAGGAAAATTACCTTTTTTCAAAGGCTAATGCTTAAATTTTGATTTGACAAGTAATTTTTTAGATTAAATAAGTTTGTTTAAAAATTTTTTTACGAGATAGAGATTTTGTGAATTAAAAATATTAAAATTTTTAAAAATTATTTAATTTCTTGTGAAAAATAATTTCAAAAAATTGTCTTCGGAATTTTTTCCATAGTAACGCATTTTTGCAGGACTCTATGAAATACTAGTATTGTAATTCATAAAAAGCATTAAGCTTTAATTATGAAGTTTGAGCATGCCAACAGCGTGCTACGTCTGTGTGAATCTCGTTAATTGGCGCCTCTTTAATCCTTTACTCCTCTGTTTTGTTACACAGAGAAAAAAAGTATGGCCAAAACTACCAAAAAATTTATCTTGTTTCTGGCTCAATGGGAATACCATGAAGCTTGGTATTTTTTACCGAAGTGCTTTGATAATGATTTTGATAAAATCAACAATAAATAGTGTTATAATATGTGATAAAGTTAGGTAATTGTCGTAAAATTTATCATGATGCATTGGAGCATGGCGTAAAAAATTATTTATTCAGTTAAACTTGCTTTTCGATTTTGTATATTTTACTAAATGTGTGTTATTCAGAACTGTAATTTTAAAAACAGTATATTCATCAAACCGTTATCATATAAATGGAAATAAATTCCTTAAGTAATAGTTTAAACATGGTATATTTTGGTTTTATTACCAGAATTATAAATTTTTGATCACTAGAAATGTAATTACCATACAGTACAATAATTTTGTCAGAATTTATTTTCTCTGAGTAAGTATAAATTTATTTTAAAATGCATAAAATTAAAATAACAATAACTCAGAATATTAAAACTCAATTTTAACGACAATATTTAATTCAAAATATTAAAACTTTATTTTATCATATTTTTGACTACCGAACTTTTATCAGTAACTTACAAAGTTTGTGATGAGGTTTTTAAAACAAAAACATAAATGAAAATTATTTTCTCCTCAGATGTTTCGCAAACGTGCGATTGGCGCCGTACTCATTGTTCGTCTGTTTCTGCTAGATTTAATCCAGTGCTATGTGTTCAATATTGGAAATGGTTTTCGTTTCCAAATGGCGCAGACAGTGATTTTTATTTTGCACTCATTTTATTTGTTACTAATTAATTTCAAACAAAACGTTTTTTTTCTCAACAAAATTAATTAATTTCAAATAAAACGTTGCTATGTTAAAGCTTATTTCTTTATTTAATTCTTTTATTCATAAAAATTGTAAGATATCTCCCTGAAATAAGAGATTCCAAAACTAAACGAAAGAATACGTTTTTTTATAAATAAAGTATTTCCGCATTAGCGCTTTGTGGGCCAGGGAGTGAGGTCATGGAGTTTAAGGCTCAACAATTTCGTGACCAATGACGTGACGGTAGCAATGTGAACAGCATCGCGCATTGGCCGTCTTTATATCTCTGACAAAATGATACTCATCGATCGAGTTGAGTCAGGGCTGCCGAAGAACAGGAAAAGTTAAAGAATTATATTTATCTGGAAAATTTAAAATTAAGATACCTGAGAAAAGAATGAGGTGAACGAATTTAAGTTATCAATACTTGAAAGTTCGGTGCTTTTTTCCAAAAAATTTTTGGTTTTGTAATAATAATTATTTTTTTGAAAAATAAACTGTTTATTTTCAACATTTATTGCGATAAGTGTTTCGTAATCAGGGGTCTGTTTAGAAGAAATTTGGGTTCGTTAACGGACCCTTCACAAAATATTTTAACTTAAAAACGGACTCTTCACAAAATGATTTTTCTTTTAATCGGACCCTTCACAAATTTGCTTATCTTCATTATTATTTTGTTAATCGAATAAACCTTTTCCAGGGCAGAAAACAAGANGAATTGTTTTTCTGACTGTTCCTGGCCACCCTGTGGGTGGGCATAGAACCACTCAGAAGATTTATTTAAATAAAAGTATGGTTTAGCAACATATGGCCCGATGATTTGTCAAGCAGAACGAGCATTTCCAAATAATCTCTTAAAAGACAGGAAAAAAAAATGTTGAATTTTTTATATAAAATAAACTGTAAAATAATTTGTTAATTTGATTCCAAAATAGAAAAAATATTTATTAGATTAAAATAATTTAAACAGTATAGAAGAATACATTTATTTTTGAAATAATAGTAATAAAAAATGTATCGCCAAGAAAAAATTAATAGACCAGTATTCATATAAAAAGATGTAAATAAAGTCATCAGGAATTTTCTATGAAACAAGAACTCTTAAATCAAATTTTTTATTATTTGTTTGATATAAGTTGCTGCCTAAATTTAGAAAAAGAAATTATTTTACTGTAATTGAGTGTATTTTGCTTTTTTAAAAATATTTTTTGCGCTGACTTATACCTTATAAGAGTGCTTAAAATGCTAACAAATTTTTTTAAATTTTTTTTAACATAGAAGCTACGAAGTTATTCTCCTAGTAGTCTTCTCTCTTTAAAATGTAATTAATTAAATTTTATTAATTCTATTTACTAACAATTGTAATGTTTTTGTATGAGTTTTGTACTCACATTTATCCCGATCTACTTTGCACATGGTGTGATCAACAACTATTTGACTCTTTTATGTACTCAAGTTTGTGAGCCATGCCCTGTAAAGAGTCTGTTTTTTTACTGCATCTTAGATGTATTATCCTTTCAATGATTCATATGACTGATAAGGAACTCTTAGTGTAAACGAAACGATTGTCTTTGTAGAGTGGATTATTTATCTTTTCCATTTTGCCATGAAGATAGGAATGAAAATTGTCAAGTGTGTTGATAAAACATAAAAAATACATAAATAATAGCTGATAACTAGTTGTCTTGATTTCGGTCCGAAATTTTTTATTAAAAAAAATTCTATAAATTGTCTAAAGCGATTTACTTATGATCAAGCAAGTTTCTTAGTACTCTTCTGCATTTAGTATTTCTATTAAAACTTTTTGCTTAGCTTGTGAAATACTTATTGTTTTTTTTTTATCTTTAGTTGTAGCCTTTAATTAATTATTTTATTATGGGGATATTGTAGATTTCAATGCCTTTCAGCTATTGAAATCTTTAGTAAAACAGTTGATTTTTAAGAAAGATAACTTGCTTAAATTTTTTTTTAGTTGTCAAATCATTTAGTTAAACAATTGTGTCTTACCACCTAGATTTGCAGGTTTTAACTATTTTTCACAATGTTAACGGTGAAAATTAATTTGTGCATTATAGAATATATCTTACATCAAAATTTTTGAATAAGTAAAAAATAATAGCCTTCCTTTCGATTATTAATAATAGCCCTTTTTTTGATTGAATAAATGGTATGTACCTGAATTGTATCGGAAAGAAATATCTGAATTAAAGCCCTAAACTGGCATAATTATTTTTTTAACATTAAGATTTAGTTAAACAACAGTCATTAAGTTAATATTCAGGTATTATTTCTAATAAATGTGTATTTTCTAACTTTTATCGGTGGTCGTTTAAGGTAAAAATTGGGTTCGTTAACAGAGAAACAATTTTAACATAATTTCAAGAACAGAACCTTTCACAAAATTCTTGTATCCTAAAATGAGACCATTCATATTCTCTTAAAAATTTGAGACAATGACGTCTTTAATTCATAATTTAAAAATTACACTGTAAAATATTCTGGATTAAAACACGGCAAAAAAATGGTACCGGCACTCAAGGTGTCGATACTTTTTCTCCCGTTAAATTCCTTTTTACCGGAACATTTTGCGGAACAAAAAAATCCGATATACAGTAATTACCACAAACTTACTGAATAACCCTAATTAAATAATTTGATCAGGAATATTACTGTAAAAATTATTGTATAATATTTTACGGTAAAATGGATTTTACTGATACTTTATACCGTAATTTGATCTGGAATTTTTTGCAGTATACATCGCATTGAAAGCGATGGTTGTTGCGTGTAATTTTTCCTCATAGAAATGGAATCTTATTTTCACATATTCACCTAAACAAAAGATATATAACTTTATTTAAGACCTA